CTTCAGCTGACCTGCAAAAAAAGAAAAAGAAAAAAAAAACGGTGGAACTAAGTCCAGTTTTTTTTTGTGACTATCGATAAGTTCAGTCCATAATTCATCGTGTACAGGAACATCTCAGAGTACCGGAGCCACGCCAGGACTGTGAATTGTGGCAGTGTGATACTACAATTTTAGTTTATAAACTTTTCTAAACCATAGTTTAGAAAATAAATCAACCCTATTTTATCTTTATATATAAACCTTTTGGCCGCGTCAGGTTGCCCGTTTTATTGTCATTTCGATGTACAACAATTCAATTCGGATGCTAAACACGCGATGATGATCGATTAATAATCCAAAAAAGGGTTGCGTGCGCTATGCGCATATATTCAGGTGCTAAGAGGCTAAAAACCCATCGTGGTTTTGGGCGGTAAATATGTATAGCATTTGAACTAACATGAACAATTGTGATATCCATAATTTTCTAGCAAAATTTATACGGAGTAGGTAGCTTGTATACAACCAAAACGTATCACACAGCAAACCCAAAAAAAAAACTGTCTCCTGACGAAGAGATTGATGAAATTAAGATAGCTAACAAAACCCCATGAATACAGCTTTTTTTAAAAAAAACATGAATACAAATAACTAGAGACTTAACTACTACTATATACTACCATGTTGACAGTACACAACAACATACGTACAGAAGATACATGACCACCCATGCCGAGCTAGCTACTTCAATAATGAAGCTGAAGCATTTGATGCAGCACCCCAACCAAATGATGCATGCATGCATGCCTAGAAGAAGTACTCCGATCCACAAGTAGCTTGTCGTAATCTCATGTCATCAATCAATTGAAGTCCTTGGCGATGGCGGGGATGCAGCTGGAGCTCCTGGTGAGCGCGCCGGCGGGGCCGCCGTGGTCCCGGGGGCTGTTGGACCTGCAGCGCTTCCTGAGGATCTCCCGCATGGCCTCCGTCTGCATGAGCACGGGGTTGGCGCGCCCCACGCGGTTGAACCGCCCGCACACGGCCATGTGCGCCGCCAGCGCGTCCTCCACCGTGCGGGTGCCGCCGCCGCCGACCCTCTCGGCCTCGGCGTTGACGGCCGCCGCGCACAGCCCGCACACCCAGCGCCCGCAGTAGCGGTCCCGGACGCGGCGCACGTACTGCGGCGTGCACTCCTCCTGCATGCCGCAGCACTCGCAACGCGCCAGCTCCTCCGCCTGCTGCTGCTCCGCGATCGCCGGCAGCTGCGGCGGCTGGGCCTTGGCGGCAGCGGCAGCGTCGGCGGCCTCGGCCTTCTTGCTGTCCCTGGACAGCTCCAGGGCCAGGTCGGACATGGCGCGCTGCAGCCCCTCCATCGAGATCCTCCTCGGCTTCGACGACTGCCGCCGCGCCGCTTGCTTCTTCGGTGCCGCCGACGCCGGCGCCGCTGCCTGTGCGGCCGCGACGACTGCTGCGTCTCCATTTGGCGCCATGAAGAATCAAACCAAAGAGTTGGTGAACAATCTCTTGTACTCTATCTTGATACGTATTAATACTTGAGAATATATAATTGTGGATTTGTGAGCTAATTGAGGAGTGAGAGATGGTGACAATAATTCTAAAATGTTTTTTTGGTAGCAACTAATTAGCTCGATCTTTGCTCGAATGTGGAGTGTGGTAATGTACAGGCAGGAGGTACTTTATATATACAGGCCCAAGCGTGCCCCTGTGGCTTGCAGAGAAAAAGTGTAGTGTAGATTAATTAGTGGAGCAGATGCGTCGTTAGCTCGTGACATGATATGCATCCATGGATGGAGGGAGCTGGAAGATGGAGGGGAGGGCCGGGAGGACGCCTGAAAACCCTAGATTACTCCAGATCTGCGGCTGGGATCAAACCGGCGGCTGGCTGGCTGGTTCCGGGACGTGTTTCTCGCCGTGTCCACGCCAGCGTGGCATGCATGCTCGTGAGCGAGATAGTGAAGTTCCCTGCTCCATTTTCCCTGTCCACGAGTAATATAACAGCAATACAGTACTAGATATGTGTTGCTGCTCATCTGATCAATTGGTGGGAGGCACTTCATTAGGTCTGTACTGTTTGATGTTGGAAGCTACTTTTTATGTAGCAGGATTATAATGACATACAGCCCGTTCACTGGTTGGTTTCTGGGCTGATAAGCCCGGTGACAATTTGGTTTTGTTATATGAGAAAAACATTGTTGCTACTGATTGATAAGCGCATTTAAAGCCAATAATGACAGACTGATAGTTTAGTCTTCTTAGCTCCACCTTTCCTCTATGCAATTCATCTAGCATTTGATTTCCTTCACAATAATTCCTCTCAACTCACTCCAAAAGGCCTTGAAGAACTCAACCGAAAAACCATCTGGACTAGAGGCAGTATTACTTCTTATTTGCTTGTTAACCATCTAACACATGTACTTAGCACGCAAGTACACAAACCGAAAGTAAATCAAAATTACATATGGACAAAACAAGGTATAAGGGCACCCGCAACACTAAGAGCTAGTTACTAGCTCTAAGACAACATGTCCAATAGTGTCAATTTTTAGCAATGGCTCCCATATGTCAACATCACATAATCTTGAACTATGTATGTATAAGATTAGCTCTTGATTAAGAGCTAACTTTCTCTCTCTTCTATTAAAATATAAAATAAAATGCTACGAGCTAGCTCATAAATCATTGTTAGAGGTGCCCACGCGTGTAGCTTAGTTGGAGCCTTGGAGGCTCTATAAAAAGACGAGATGACTATGTCACCTGTACATATTAACGTGCGGCCAAAGTTGCATCGGGGACAGGCAGCGGCGACGCTACACGTCACTTTAGAGCATCTCCAAGAGTTTTCAAAAAACTCTCCTAATTTTTTTATTTTTGGCAAGACTAAAAAAATGTCTCCAACCGCTCCCAATAATCCCACCTCTAATCTTTTGGCTATCGGAAAAAAAATGACTCTCATGCATGGATAAATCCGTGCACGGACGACGATCGCGCGTATCCTCCTAGGTTGTGCTGCTGCTGTCCGTCTCCTAGGCACGCACGATGATTGGAGCAACACAAGCCTAGCTTCACACGACGGCAACTTGCAGCCTTGCAGGCACGGCAGCCGACTCCTCCTGCTGAAGCCGCGCGTGCGGTGGTGAAGGGCCTCGGCTGGGCTTTCGGATGGCCGGGCCATGCCCGCGGCAGCGGGTGGCGAGGTCAGGGCCCGAGCGGCTCGCCCAGGATCCGTACAGGGCGGCGGCGGCGCTGCTGCCTCAATAGGGGGGAGGCGCGATGGGGGGTCGTAGGCCGGGCGTAGGTGGGGCCTCCGGGCGGTGGCGCCGGGCAAGGGTCCGGGATGGCGCGGCTACGGGCCGAATTGGCCGGAAAACGTCCATGGTGGAGTTCCTGCCTTCCTGGTGCCGGCCCGCATCTATTTTACGAGTGATTTTTTTTTATTCTGTTGGACAAACTCTTGTTTTGTGCTTCTAATATTTTTTGACGACTTGAAAAACTCAATGGTTTTGGGAACTCTTGGAGAAATCTTTTCTACTATATATAGCAAACTCAAAATTTACCATATATATAAGTCTTCAGGTCCTTTGGTACGTTATAGAGTAGAGTTGATCATGGTAGTATTCGTCCTGTTTGTTTGGCTTATAAGTCGTACTTTTTCAGCTAACGAATAGTATTTTTCTTTAAAAAACATATCAGTCAACAGTAGTTTCAGTTATGGCTTATTAATCAAGCGAACAGGACAATTGCTGACAACTGACAAGGAAAGATCTCGAGGTGAAGCACGGGCGCTGCTACTGTGTCCATATGCCGTGGCACCGTGTGCATGCAAAGCAACGAGATCCACAAGCTCTGGTGACTAGGCGGTGGCGCCGCGGCAACTTCTCCGGACGGCATCATTGCATGAGAGAGACGGACCGAGACGAGCGAGGTCACGGGATGTTTGTTTCCGCGACGCCCATCCCATATGCCGGAGCCGGATCGGCGATGTGGATGCGCGCGTCGCGCTTTTGTTGCCCTCCTCTCGTCTGGGCTGGAGAGGAGATTTGATTAGGAGAGGTTCGCCGCACTTTCACTGTGCCGCTTGGATTCGCCCGCGTCTTCCTGCTCTCTCGGTCTCATCATTGGGCGGCCTACCGCCCATCATTGGGACCTCAACTTGTGGATTTTTTCCCTTCTGTTTTTATATTTTGATTGAAATAACTTTGTATAGTTTCTGGCCAAAAGTAATTGCTCCAGTCAGAGATTTGCAAAAAGTTTTAGCATTATATATAGTTCCTCAGCCAATTAAATTGGTGGATGGTGGGATGTTGGTCCTTTTCTGTGAAGCTTCTCTTTAAAAAAAAACATAACTGAAATAGCAAAAATTTATAACCCTCCACACTTCAATAGGTTATAGTATTGGTAATGACTTTGTTTCTGCCGTGCTGCACGCTCCTCTTGCCGTCGATGGATCATCCAAGGCTCGGCGTGCATCTGGCGTTTCCAACCCAACCGCGGTGCCTGGCCCACTAGTCATAGAGAGGGGAGGAGTAACTGTTCAAATCTTGGGACTCGCGCTTCCTCTCTCCTCCCGACAGCGACGCCTCAGATAGAGCTCGCTTCATCTGCGCTCGCTTCGGCTCCGTTTCCGTCGAGAAGAATCCCCCGCGGCGACACGATGACTCTGCCGGTGACTGCAGTTTTTCGCCGGACCCGGATCTTGGCGGAGCACAGGTCACCGCGCTCACCGGTAAGTTGGATCCCGTACCGATGCTTCCACCTCACGGATTCGATTTGGATTTGTTCCCCATCTAACTCCAATCTCTTCCGATTCCATGGTTTGCTGGGTAGGTAGCCTAGGCGGCGCCATTCTAGGTTTGCATGGTGAGAGGACCGATTCGGTGAGGCATATACTGACGGATTTGGTTGATTTTGTTTCACTTGCAGGCATCTTGGCGACGGCCGTGTCACGGTCGTTTCACCGTCACCGTGCAGCCCCCTATCGTGACGTGCTGCTCACCGTCGCCGTCGCGGTCGTCTCACCGTCTCCGAGAAGCCTGCCCCAGCGTCGACTGCGCCTCGCTGCTTGCTTGCCCCCCACCCCCTCCCCGACGCCACCTCCTCCTCTGACTTTTGCCTCCCTCGGTGTCTCCTGTTGTAAGCACTCTCATCGTTGTTGCTTGCTTCCTTCCCTTCAGAGAGATAGATAGATAGATCAGACTGCTCTGTTCAAGAATTATGGTTATTCATTAGTAGCGTATCCAGGATTTTTTTGAGCCTTGGCACTCTGAATGAAAGTACAGACTATAATTCCTGCTTGTAGAATGTTGACTTTACATGCTCACCAGTGTTTAATTTTAGTCAGTTGAATAGGCTCTCCTGAAGGAAAAAATTTCATAAGCATCAGCCATTACACCTGGTGATGAAACATGTACCCTGAAATATGTAACCTCGGACTTGAAACCTGAATGTCTACAGATAATATCATTTTTGTCGCATACACTAAATTCTAGGTGTAGTGTCCACGTCTCTGCGAGATAGCTGTGGCTAGGTTTGGTGGACATGCAGGTGTAGCGCACATCCTTATTGGCTTTGGCACAGACTAAGCTTCAAATATGTACTACCCACAAAGATGGAACTTGTTTTTTTTGTCTTCAGTGGTCGCACTGCTATCACCTGGTGCTTGCTAATGTTGCCCTTCCCTGACCATTACTCCACATCTTGATGATTTCACAGAATCAACTTTCGACTCTTTTAGGGTGCATTATATGATAAATCTAGTCCATGCAATTACTGATAAACCTGAAAGGCTGCACGTGCATGATCCTAGAAGTCCATCTCCTTTTGCCCAAACCAATGCTTTGTTTGCTCTAATCGCAAGTGGCCTGAGGCATTCAGCATTCAGCCTGGAGGCATTTCTTATTCACATGCACACCATAAGACTAAGAATTTAGATATTGTTCTTTAGCAACTTACTTTCTTGTCATAATATACATGGACTGTGTGGCTCCCTTGTTCATAACCCAAGTTGTATTTGCCATTTTTCTTCTTGTTTTAATCTATGCATTTCATGATCTTGAAAATGCCCATTTACTATCTCACGTAGTTCCAAAAATATTATGCGCTACGATATTGTTAATTAAACCTTAATGTTGGCTATTTCTGCTCAATGTCCATCATTAGGTCTATTCTATTTAGGTTTTGAGATCCTTCTTGTTTAATTGGAACTGAATGCCTTGAATTTGTTTATTTTTAGCTTCTGCTTGGTCAAGGCACAAGCGAGGCACCCAGTCCATTTTTCTGCACCTAATTTGTGTATAAGCAGCTCTTGTCGGTGGAATTGCAAAATATCTCAGGTGCTTGTTGTTTCCTTTCTTTTTATTTCTTCTCCAATACCCAATGACATCCTGTTTCTTAACAGTGTTATCCTTTTAACTGATTGGTGTCAGATTGTCGCACGTACTATAACAGTTTACCTATGATTGTTCAATCCCTGTCTATTTAGCATCAATGGCAATTAAAACCAGTAGTGTCGATTTATTAGTAATTACATGAATATTACGAGGACTTTACTCACCGTAAGAAATTACATTAGATTTCAGTCTATGGTTTGTTGCCTAGCCACGCTCTCTGGTTTCTTTTTATTTCGCAAGAACTGCAAACTAGTTCTATACTAAGAGGACAATAGCTATAATTATCTAATTTACTTTACCAATCATGCTTTATGTATGCACTTTCACTTCTTGCGAATGTGCTACATATTAGATCAGCACAATATTTCCTAAATCTTTCAATATATGCTTTATGGAATAGGAATGCAGTAGGAAGGCTCACTCTGTTCCAAGCGTCTTGGCTCCCTACAATCTGTTGTGTTGTTCATCCAGTGATCATCACACTATTGCTAGTGTTTAGGAATACCTATCATGCATGTATTCATTTATGCTCCAGCTTTCACTTGTGCTCTCATCCCAGATGTAAATTAGAATCTTGTTGATCCATAGTGCAACGTTTCTATAGGAGCTGGGAGGTTTGGAACGGAGTGACGCGAGGGTGCTAATGTGTGTCTTATATTACAGTGAAAGTATTAAACTTCATGTATTGAATTGTTTTTCTGAAATTATTGAACTGCTACAGTGAATGCATTGAACTTCTTTTTTGTAATTAGTGAATCCTAACATGTATTAAACTTCACTTCATGTCTATCTTTTTTATTTTACCTATATTTATGCCAAATGAGCTGAACCCTTCATCCAACATGGTCTCTTAGGTGTTGCTTGTGTTAGGCAATGGGTAGAGGACAACAAAGCCAACCTACTGCTTCATCGTCTTCAACGGTTCCTAAGGTATGTGCACCCAATCCGTTAGCTTTGTTTTTTGTATTCACCTGTTTTATGCACTCAATTTTTAATTGCCGCTATTTTCTAACCTTTTGCAATCCATCTCCTATTCTCAGCCTCGAAGACAGCGGGCTTCCCCATAGAGGCTCGTGAAGCTCTACAATGATTTGACTCAATCTCAGAAGAAAAGAATACGGGCGATAGGTTTTGGTGGTCTCCTGAAGATTGCTTCTAAAACCATTTCTGCAGGTTTTGCAGACTGGTTGATGGTTGAGTGCTATGATGCTGATTCATCGGAGCTGGTGTTCCTGGCAGGGGAAGGATTTCAGTCAATGCTGATTCAGTGTGTCGTGCTTTTGGTCTTCCAAACAATGATGATGAAGTTAAGTATGAGCTTGATGTTGGTGCGATCAACTTCATCAATGGTGAGTATGGTATTGATGAAGGGACAACACCTACTATTGACTCTATATTGGAAAGGTTGAAGGAGAATAAGGCAAGCAATGATGATTTCCTAAGGTCCTGGCTGATGATAGCAATTTCAACATTCATGTGTCCTCCAACTGGCTTAGCTATTAGCCCAAGGTGCTATCCAGCCATTGTGGATCTTTCTTGCGTTAAGAAGTTGAATTGGTGCTAGTTTGTTGTTGACCAGCTTAAAGACGCAACGGCCAAAATGGGCAAAAGAAGATCTTTTAAGGGTTGTCTTCTTGTCCTTGTGGTAAGTTGCTTCGCGTCTTGTTCTATGCTGTAGTGTTTGGTGAGTGTTATTGCAGCAGCAGCAGCCACAGCGCCGCTGCAGCAAGCACTACCAATCTTAGTCATATATGTTTCTACTTCATTCTTTCTTCTTATGTTTTGATGCCCTTATTGATTTTTCATCCTTGTAGATTCTATATGTAGACTCGCTTCTGGTTGACAATGTACAAATCCCTTATACCATGCCTAGAGTTGCAGCATGGTCAAGGAAATTGTTGGATCAGGTCATCAAGTTAGACACCAACAATGATGGCTCATTTGGGAAGCTCAAGGTATGTATCAATAGGTCAATGTGGCTTCCCTTTTATCGCTAAAGTGTCCCCATGTCCATATTATAATTTTGTCTGTACATGTTTATGAGTCTAGTCGAAAGGGCCAAGCTATTCTACTCCACAGCCTTCATTATTCCACATGGATGATATAAGAAGATTTGTCTCCTCGAAGGTTCCCAGTGGCAATTCAGATCAGGTTTGTACATGGTCTCTTCTCTAATCATGTTCTCATGACTACTAATTTTTGTTAAATGTACTTGAATGTGTTTGTGTAAAAATTTGTGTTGGCAGACCCGTTGTACATCTTATATGCTAAGACTCAAATGTTAATGTGCATTGCCTTTCCTATTTACTAAGTTCAGAGTTTAGCCCATTGCTTGATTGTTTTTAAAAATAATAATAAATAAATTACAAAATTTTGATTCATCCTATACTTCATCCTTTTTTCTGTGTAGTTTCTTCCGCGCCTACTTTTGACTTGTGTAGTAGTATGCTGATTCATCCTTTTTCCTAGAGTTCAGCTTAGCTTTTCATGAATCCCGTGATGGCCTTGCCTTTTCATGAATCCCGTGTTCTTAGCATCCCTATTTTAGCATCTTCGCATTTTCTTAGGCAATTTAAGTGTCATTCGTTAGGCAATAATGTCTTCCTAAATAGGCAATTTAGCCTATTCTTACTAGTCAAAAAGGCCATCCCTTTTGTTGTTTAACTCTACTTGTCCCCCCCCCATTCGTGGGCCTGTACAACACAAGCTTGTATGAATCTTGTGGAGGCCCATTCCACTTGTTCACTTTCACTCCTTTTTTTGGGGTTTGTCCAAAATTTGTGTGCGTGGTTTCATTCCATTACTTACACCTATTTTTTCCTCTTCTTTTGTCCTTTGTAGAAAAAAAGTATGCTCAACACCGCTGTTAGCCAGTTCTGCTTTGGTTTCACAAAGCTTCTCGACACAATTTTTGGAAAAAGTTTATGAAGTTGAAGTTCCTGCATCACAGCGTGTGGGCAGTTCCAAGCGTCCAAGGGCAAATCATTCTGAAGGTGAATCTTCCTCTGCACAGAGACACAACAGACCAACGCGTTCCAAATTGGACAAGTTGTACCTTCCTGTGCACAAAGGCAGACTAGGGCAATGAGTAGAAGAGGACATGTTGATGAAGATGAATCTTTGTGTCAAGAATCTAAAGAGGATTTGTCGAGTGATGAAAATGGAGATGGTGACACTGACCAAGATGAAGATTCTAAGGATGAAGATTCCGATTCAGATCATGAGACTGCGTTTGATGATGATGGCAATGGAAATTTGTCCCCTGTACTGGAGGAGGAAGACGAAGGCATTGAAAAGCAAGATGAGGATGATACTGCTTCTTTGGAAGAACCTAAGTTGGATGCAACTAGAGTTGACAAGCAATGTAATGTGCAGCCACCTGTAGATTCATCCACCCGTGTTGAAGCTCAAGTTGATGACAGTGAAGATCTTGTCCCACTGAAGGTCTGTTTGGAAAGGTTGCAAGCTTTGAAAGTTAAAGATAAGAAGGATACAACAACTTCTAGTGAACCTCAACCACCGGAGATTATTCCTCCAGAACCTACCATCAAGCCCAAATCCAATGCACAAAGAATGAAGGAAAAGCTTAGGCTCCCCCCAAGTGGTAACTTCACATCTTGACAATGGGATATGTTTCATCATCATACATGTTATTTCCTTTATTGCTTAGACTAATAACGAACCCAACACAGGTGACTCATGTTGTACCAGAAGCTGTCCTTTGGATTTTACACCCCCAGATATCAACATCGTGAAATTTGTAGATTCACAGGGTGGACCCAACAACTTTGCAGGTGCTACTTCAACAGCACCTATTGAAGTTCAAACAACTTCCACACTAGCTAGTTCTCAATTCTCACTGTCAAATATACCAGAAGAGGAACTTGCTAAGTTGGAAAAATGATGCTCTTATCGAGTTTGAGAAGAAAAAGGTGAAACTAGCAGTTGATTTTCAGGCATCTGATCCTGTACCTCCTCCATCTACATCTAAGGAGCCTGCTAGTGGCAATTCTTCAGTTACACCTGCCTATGAGCCTCACCCAAGAAGGATTCAGAAAAGGCCAGCTGCTCTCCGCTCGCCTTATATTGACTTTGCTACAAAGAGGACTTTCCATTACAGCAAGGATGTTTGTGATTTATATGCTGCTGTGTGTGCACATGGAAATGCAAGGTCTACTATATCTAAAAAAGCTCAAGAGTGTGTATGCCCATAACCATGTCTTCCTTCATTATTTTAAAAATGTTGATCATCATGTTATCAATGATTTATGCTCACTTTCTTGCTTCTTTTATGTGTGCAGCGTGATCATGATCAATTTTTGGAGCTTTTATGTGACGCTAGATCATCTTGCTCTATCTGTTAATCCTGGTGGGAAGCTAATGAGCCCAGTTGCTGAAATTGCAATCTACACAATTGACGACACCAGTAGAAAGACTGTCAAACGTGTTCTACCTTTACGAGTCTCGGTTAGTTCATATTTTTCGTCCATTATTCTTCTACTATAAATCTGTACTGAAGCAATTCTTCTTTTAGTATCAAGTAATTTTTCATGTCCTTAGCAATTTTCTTAATTTGTTAAGGCAGTTTTGCTTCTTTTTTCGCACTTTCATCGAGGACATATTTAGAGGCCCATGTCCCTGCACTTGGGTAGCTCCCACTACTATAGCTAGGGCAAAATTTAGAGGCCCATGCCCCTACACTTGTTGCAGGCCTCCCACTATTCAGTAGGAGCAGATCCACACCAAGCTAAGACCACATAACTACTACTACTACATGTAACCTCGGACTACAGTACTGCTCTGCTTGCTGAATGCAAATAGCCATTGCAAAGCCAAAACAGACGCGATAGATGAATGTAACCTCCTCACTTCTCATGATATTGCTCTCTAATTAATCTTTGACTACAGAACTACATCTACTGCTCTATAACACAAGGCTCAAATATTAACATTAGGTAGCTCTGTAATCAGGCCATGGGCTATCTGAACAATTACCATTTTTGTTTCTTGATTGGTGTACAAGTTTAGTGCCACTGTTTTATCATCACGAGCAGCATTGGCAGGAACCCACCAGTGCGGGCAGTTGACACATGGCCATTTTGCCTCTCTTTCCATGGGCTGATCATGTATCAATGTTTGGCACTATGACATTGTTGTAGCATGTAGTTCTCTCCTAGCTGTTGTATGTTCACATGATGCATTCTCAGTTTGTTGTCCATGGGGAAAAATTAATTAGCAGGGTGACATTTGATTTCCCTGCTTTGTTATCCTTCATCCTGGTCAGTGTTTGTGGAATCTGTAGCTCTGGACTCAGGCACTTGGGAATTTAGGCAATGCTCCCGATAGCATTTGATTGGATTATTCTGCATCCTGAATAAAAAAATCAAGTATGTTCTTCTGATGTGTTAGAAGGTCATGCATGATTAGTTCATATATATGGTCAATTGCTGGCCTCAATCAGTTGTAGTTTCTTCTATTATTCTTGTACTGTAAATCTGTACAGAAGCAATTCTTCTTTTAGTATCAAGTAAATTTTCAAGTTTTTGTTAGCAATTTTCTTAATTTGTTAAGGCATTTTTGTTGCTGTTTTTTCGCAGACTTTCATGCAGGAGGGCAACCTAACTATGACACAGGTCTCACGTGTATTCTAGCTTCCAGATAACCATTTAGACCATCGTCAAATGGTAAGTTCATATCTTCACATGTATTTAGGTTTCATCATACACAATTTTTTCTTCCTTAGTGACATTCATTGAAAATAACCAACCCAACATAGGTGATGTTCCCTGTGCTTCAATCACTTGGAGATGGAAAATCTGCAACACATGTAGGACACTACTTTTTGCTTGTCCTGAACCTACGAAACCAAAGGTTTGAGGTGTTAGACTCAATGAGAACTCTGGAAGATGAAGCTCTCTTCAAGTGCTGCAATACCTTGATAGGGGCAATCAAACAACTTTGGACCAAACATGGTTATGAGGCAAAGAAGCCCATATGCAATTATGAACTTGTTGATATTGGTGTTCCAATCCAGTCCAACAAGTAAGTAGTTTTTCTGGTCTAACTAATGTTACCTTTTTGCATACGGTCAGATTTGTTATCTACACTGAGTTCTATATTGTTTGTTTTGTCTCTACAGTCATGATTGTGGTTTCCATATGTTGATGCATGCTGAACATTGGGATGGACGTTCAATGCAATATTTCAAGGAGAGTGACATCCCTAATATACGCAAGCTTCTACTGCATAAGTGGCTAACTCACAAAGATAATGTTGTGCAGAATTGGAAAGACAGGCTGCATTTATAAGAGATAAAGCTTGTAAACAGTTTTGTAATGGTGTCCTATAATTAATGCATATGTTGTAATGTTTCAAAAAAACTATAAAGCCTAATATTACAACTCTATACAACTATACCTAACTACATCTAGTACACCTGCTACTACTATAGCCACTACTAGCTATAGCTGGTCAGTACCAGGCCGAGATCAGGCACTACTTATTATGTGTGTGAGGCAAGTTATTAGTCAGGCAATTTATTAGTAGTCCGGTAAGCAATTTAATATTATTAGCTAGGCAAGTTATTAGTATTCTGGTTGCAATTATGTGTGCCCAACACCAAAAATGTGCCTACAACCTCTGTGAAACTAGAGCAGAACTGGCTAACAGTAGTATTGAGCGTACTTTTTTCTACAAAAAACAAAAGAAGAGGAAAAAAACAGGTGTAAGTAATGGAATGAAACCACGCACATAAATTTTGGACAAAACCCAAAAAAAGAAGTGAAAGTGAACAAGTGGAATGGGCCTCCACAAGATTCATACAAGCTTGTGATGTGTAGACCCACGAATGGGGGGGGGACAAGTAGAGTTAAGCAACCATATAAGTAACAAAAGGGATGGCCTTTTTGATTAGTAAGAATAGGCTAAATTGAATATTTAGGAAAACATTGTTGCCTAACGAATGACACTTAAATTACCTAAGAAAATGCGAAGATGCTAAAATGGGGATGCTAAGAACACGGGATTCATGAAAAGGCAAGGCCATCACGGGATTCATGAAAAGTTAAGCTGAACTCTAGGAAAAAGGATGAATCAGCATACTACTACACAAGTCAAAAGTAGGCGCGGAAGAAACTACATAGAAAAAAAGGATGAAGTATAGGATGAATCAAATTTTTGTAATTTTTTTTTAAAAACAATCAAGCAATGGGCTAAACTCTGAACTTAGTAAATAGGAAAGGCAATGCACGTTAACATTTGAGTCTTAGCATATAAGATGTACAACGGGTCTGCCAACATAAATTTTCACACAAACACATTCAAGTACATTTCAGTAACACTATTTCTTAATTTAAATTGTTTCTTGATTTTGAACTTCTCTTCTAGGCTAGTCTGGACATCTCTTTGCATTGTGATCATATGATCTACAAATGCTGCACCTATTCTTCCTCTTCACTTGACCATTCATCCCCTTTTTGTGCGCCTTCTCCTTCCTGCGCCCTTTGGCTTTTGACTTTGGGGGGTTCCCTACATTTGATGAGCTTGGACCAGCCACTACACCTACAGGGTGAAATGCAATATCAGCAACTAAGTAATCAAGTACATGTGTACTAGGATGAAGTAAAGCAGAACACGGGGTCTAGTTTTTAAACCTGCAGTTCGCAGTGAAGGTCCAGTTGGAGTAGATGCACCTCGACCAGTGTTCTATAGCACCAGTGTAGCACCAGGGTCTTGTGCACCTTCTGTAGCACCACCTTCTGTAGCACCAGTGTTCTGCCTATTCGTCATCTTCCTTTTCTTGATTTCTTCAAATTCAGATCGCATCTGCTTGATGTGCTTCTCCAAAACAGCATAGTTTTCATCACTTGTACAGTCCTCAACTACTAGTGCTGCAAATGCGGTGGATGCGTTGGTGAATCTCGGAGTTTTCTGGCCGGTCAATGGCATCCCATGGGCTACAAGTTCCACCAGTGCCTGCACATTTTGGACCTGATCTGTATCACTAGTAATTGCTTGCTGCGTCCACCTTTTAAGGATGTAACTTTCTGGTATCAATTTCACCCCCGTCTTGACCATAATCCTCATAATTTGGCAGCAAATGATTCCATCCCTGTCAAACTTGTGCACTCACAGCAGTAGCTTTCCTCCTCTTCTATTGCTGTAAAAGGTAGTTCCTTTTTCCATACCCATAAACAAAGCTGTTATTGGGCTCCAGCCAATATTGGAACTTCCCTATAGGGTTCACATCATATTCTGTAGTTTTCTCAAACTCTTTGGAGAACTTGTAGAACATATTCTTTGTGCATATAGTGGAAGCATGCTTCTCAAGTGGATGCCTTGACCATCGTCTTCGCTCATTCTCATCAATCATGAAGTCTTGCCCATCATGTGCTAATAGACACTTCTCTTGTATTTTCTGGTACTGTCTCACAAACTGTAGCACGGACAAGTTTGGTTTCACATACTTCTTGAGCAAAGCATTGAACCCCTCGCTCCTTTGAGTCGACTGGAGGAATGGGAAGAAGCTGTGCATGTAGTAGGCTGGAATGAAGCTCTGCCTTATGTGGTACAAGTGCTGAAAATGCTCATTGCCCTCCAAATCATGTTTCTGGACCATAGCGGCCCACTTTGACTCAAAATCTTCTAGACTTACGGTGTGGTTCAAGCAATCCACAAACTCCTCATTTAGTTCTTCATTTTTTAGCAAGGATCGGTCCAATTGTGCCCAAAACTTGTCCATGATATGCCACCTGCAATTCCTGTGGGTCGTGTTTGGAAAAACGGTGCAAATGGTGGCTCTCATCGCAGCATCCTGATCGGTGATTATGTTGAGAGGTGCCTTTCCGTCCATTGCCTCCAGAAATGTTACAAACAACCATTTATAGGTAGCTGCCTTCTCATTCCTTATAAAGGCACATCCTAGCTGAAAAGTTTGGCAGTATCTGTTGATTCCTATGAATGGTGTACAAGGCATCTCATATATGTTGGTCATATAGGTTGCATCAAATGAGACACAGTCGCTATATGCCTCTTTGTAAGCTCGTCTTGCAGCTGAATCAACCTAAAACAGGTTCTCAACCCTATGGTTGTCATCGAGCTTGATCTTGTAGAAGAAATCAGGGTCTTCTTCTTTCAAAGCTCAGAAGTAATCCAAAGTTTCCCACATATCTTTGAATTTTTCCGTCTTGTGGATGGTGGAGCGAAAGTTCAAAACTTGTTTGCCCTCGTATGGCACCAGCTATGCAGAGCCATAGAACTCGCTCATCAACTACATGATTCTACCTGTGCTCAAGTTGCATCCGTGTAGCAAAACGATGAAATCCTTTTTCGACTTTGGTATCCCTCTGTGGGACCTTATGAACTTCTTGAGCAAGGGCTTTACCACAAGATCGTGGTTGTGCTCGGCCAGAAAATAGATGACTTGCCACCTAGAGCCAATCATTTTGACCACCATCCTCGCCTTGCAGTTTGTATATAGCATTTTCTCCATCTTCCTTTTCTTACATCCATCAAGCTTCTTCCTCTTCTCCCTTTGATCATCCTCTTCCTCTTGTGCGCTATCCTCCTCTTCGGCTTCATCATTGTTAGAGTAGCAAGTGATAGCTTCAACAAGCTGAGCAACAACTCTCCTTTTCTTGCCAAAGCCTTCCTTATTGCACACGAACTAGACCTTCTGCATTTCTCTTGTGATTGCGGACCGGCGTGACGTGTTTGTTCTAATCGGGAAGCCAGTTCTCTTTGCATAAGAGTTGTAGTACTCTTTTGCTTTGTCCAAGGATGCAAAAGATAGCCCATTGTGTGGCATTTGAGGAGTAGACCACACCTCTTCCCCCTCTTCTGCTACTTCATTTCTAGCACCATTTAATTCATTATCAGTAACTACAGGATTAATAGTAGAACCTTCATTCCTGTCCTTAATCATTGCCTATTCAAATGATAATTTGATTTTAGAAACGGTAGGAAGAACCTCTTCTGAAACTGCAGGAGCCGCCTCTGCTAAACCAACATGACCAACTTCAGAAAAACTAGGCAAAATCTGCTGGTTCACATGCTCATCATTAGGCTGAGGAATTTCAGGAATTGCAGGCACTTGAGTGCAGAAGGTAGGGTTGCCGGTCACATAATCCAAACCAAATGCATCCAAGAAATCTTCATCCAAATATGGCGGCAGCTTGTTAAGATCCATATTTGAGAATTGCATGCAAAACAGTAAGTTACATGAAATTAGGCAACTTAGTCAAACCCATTAGGCAATAATACTGTATAAAATTAGGCAAAAAAGGCCATCAACTTATGAAGTTTTGTTCATTACATACTATCAGTTTGTTCAGTATATGCTATCAGTTACATGAAATTTCATGATAGCTGTGGCTATCAGTTTTCCACAGTTATAGTGGGACTGAAGACTGACTAACACTGTACCTAAATGTTACAACCTATAAAATGGACACATGGGAGTTTAGAAACTTAAGACTGTCCATGGTACAAAATGCATTTTATTCCATAGTCAGTTTTCAACTTAATGAATCTACTGTTCTTGTGTTTCCCTCTTTTTGCAAAAGTTGAAATTTGAGGCTTGCTTGTCCTTAACTCAGTTGATTTAAACATTTTTCCTCGGTTCTCACTACCATCTATGTGCTTATCATGTACTTCTATTTAATTGCAGGTGTGAGGCCATCAAGCATCAAAATGAACATGTGCAGCAACCATGTGCAGCAGCTAACACAAGAAAGTTTAATGCATATGAGTAACCATGTGCAACAGCTAACACAAGAAAGTTTAATGCATAGGAGTAACCATGTGCAGCAGCTAACACAAGAAGGTTTAATGCATCAAGATGTACATCTATAGGAGTGGTGCATACAGCATATATCCATGTTAACTAGTAAGAACACCATTTGGTAGTAAGATGTGCAGTAAGAACATTAGTCATTTACTAGTCATTTACATGTCCAAGTTAGGATCAGATATGCTAATGCAGTAGGAACTGCATTACTATTTGTGATGCAAGAGAACTGGATTGCTTATGCAAAACAACTGAATTGCTCATGCAAAAGTAGTGAATTGCTTATCGGTTAGGATTAGATCTGCTTATGTATTAGGAACAGCAGTACTATCTGATATCAGAACTGAATTGCTTCTGCTAACAGATCTGGTTGGTTCTATTGTGTAATTCTAGTGTCCGAGAAGAAGCTGATTATCTGCAGCTGATAGTATCAAGTTCTTGCATATTTGTACGTACCTGCTGTTTGGATGTATTGGCCTGCCTTATTTGGATGAATCTACCGGCCGCTCGATGGTGGCGGTGGCGTCCTAGACGCCTCTATTTTGCGTGTTGAAAGGGAAAAGCAAAACAGGGCGAGGGGAAGAATCTTCCAGGCGGGGCGTGGGCCTGGCCTCTGGTGGGCCTTGTCCAGGAAGCGCGCTTGGCGCGCACCCGCCGTAGCGCTTTCGCGCGCGCGTGCACGGCCGCTGCTTCCCCATGACCAGGACGGAAACAGAAAGTGTATACTATTGGATTTCCTAATATGGAGTGTGCGTGCGGCCTGCTTAATGCATGCACGGCCGTGCATTAGTCGTTTCCTATAGTATTATACACTTTTGCAATTTTTTGATTGGCAATTTCTTTATCCAACCTGTGGATCGTGTTTCTAAACCGATGCTGATTTTTTTGCGAGACTCTAAACCGATGCTGATGGTTACTTGGTTGGCAGGCCGAGGTCCCAGAGGGGTCCTTCTTCTTTAGTCCCGGACCCCTCATTCATGCCGGTCTAGTTAGGCCCAAAATTAATGCTGTGTGAGGTCCCCGTCTGTAGTGGCAGAGCTAGGTTAGAATTCAAGGGGAGGCCAATTCTGGTCTTGTGACTAATCACTATTTATAGGCATAATCTTCTTTTCTGTACTCAAACGGTTAGTGACCCAGCGGCACTCCTCAGGTCCTCGGTTCGACTCCCCGTGGGAGCGGATTTTAGGCTGAGGTTAAAAAATCCCCTCGCCCGTCCCCCATGTGCCAAAGCGCAGTGAAAGGCTCCAGCCCGGTTCTCATAGGGTGACGGCACCTCCTGTGTCAGGATGGGGGCGGGAGTTCGGGGGTTTTCTCGATCCGTGTGAGAAGATCCTTCTTCTTAACGAAAAATCCGGGGGCCGTCATAACCCCCGCAGGTCGAGTTTTTTTACAATTCTAGTGGGGGAGTTTGTAAGCTAAATTAAATGTATTAATAGACAAAGTAATGCATATGCATTCTACTATATGTTACCTCATGAGTGTAAGCTGTTGCAAGATGAACTCCTGCTAGTTGTCATTGTGTCCTTCTTAAGCAGAACAAGAGAGCTAAATAGACGTACTAAAGTAAAAGACTAATAAGTAAAATATCCCGAGCAAGGGGGGCCGCCGTCCAGGATGGCCCTAACGTGGCTCCGCCAGTGCCCGTCTGGGCCTCAGTTGTGCCAGATGGCCTGAGTAACGAAGGTAATAATCATCTTGAGTACAAATTCCCTGATCATGAACATGTTTGGATACCATGTGCTAATTGCTATAGCTAACTAATTTTAAATTAGCTATAATTTTTTTTGAGCAGAAGCTATATTTTTTTGAGTGGAGTTTAAATTAGCTATAGTGCATTCCAATAAAAGGACTAATAGATGGGCTATTTTTTTAGCTAAAATTTTAACTACTCATAGTTTGTTAGCCAACTTTTTTTGAGCAAATGTTAGCCAACTAAACTAGCCAACCACAGTTAATTTGGATTAATTTTTAGCCCAATATGTTGGTTCAGTTCAGCCCATTAAGGGAAAAGATGAGAAATTCGTGCTGCAACATGCAAACGTGCCACAGCCCGATAGCGTAGCGAGCGCGGAAAAGCAGATGCCCATTCCCATTGCATAGCGGTAGCGAGCGGCGCCACGCTCAAAAGCACAAATCGCTTTCCGCGCCGCCGCCGCGCCCCCGACCGACCACTCCTCACCTCTCGCGCCGCACCTGTCGTGTCCCCCTGCTAAACCCTGCTTGAGCCCTAGCCACCGGCCGCCTCCGGGAGTGAGAGAGCATGCGCGCCAGGCTCCTCAGCGCGCCGTGCCCTGCCTCCACCGCCCCCTCCTCCTCGTCCCCCTACCTCCCCTCCGGGTCCGCGGGCGCCCGCCCGCGCCTCGCTTCCTGGAAGCCGCGGGGCCCCGCGTCCGCGCCGCCGCCGCCGCCTCTCCTCTCGCTGCGCGCCCGGGCATCCATGCAGCCCGCCGCGCTCCCGCACGACGGGTGAGCACCGAGCAGAGTCTCTCCGTGTCCTATCGTACCAATTCGCGCCGACCGCGATGGCCAGGGCATGTGACAGGCCGGCGGTTCCTGCGCCTGATGGATGCTTGTGCTGTGCTGTGTTCCAGGCAGGGTGGTCCGCCGGTGCACGGCGTCACCAACACCGTCGTTGGAGTCCTCGGGGGAGGCCAGCTCGGGAAGATGCTCTGCCAGGCGTCGAGCCAGATGGGGATTAGAATCGTCATCCTCGACCCCCTTCCGGGCTGCCCCGCGAGCTCGGTTAGCGATGAGCACGTCGTCGGGAGCTTCACTGATGGGGACACGGTCCGGGAGTTCGCCAAGAGGTCGGCTAAGTTGCAATCCTTTCACGCTTGTTTGGAGGCCGTATATATGCAATGCCCGTTGTCTGCTTCGGTTCATCTTTTTTTTTTTTAAACTTCTGTTATTAGGTGTGGGGTCCTCACAGTAGAGATTGAGCATGTTGATGCCGCCACACTTGAGAGGCTGGAAAAACAGGGTGTTGACTGCGAGCCTAAAGCCTCCACAATCATGATTATTCAGGTTATTTTCCTCTCCTTGTGCCAAACACCAACATGTATATACAGTACTTTCTCGCCAGAGATAAAAAAATCTGATCACAGCTACTTATTCAACTGATTTTGTTACGCTAACTGTAACACTTTAACAAATTAGCTCTGTGACCCTGTCTCGATCTCTGATCTTGCAGTACCAACCAACTGTAGATAAGTGTAATTCTAATTTCATAGATTATGTCTCCTAAGATCTTCATTGGACCTATTTCAACTACTTCATTTATGGTAATTACTGATAGTTCGTTGTGTATTCACAATCAATCGCAGGACAAGTACAGGCAGAAAAGGCATTTCTCAAAATGTGGGATCCCATTGCCTGACTTCATGGAAGTAATGCACAAACTTCTAACCTGTTGGATAGTATTGTATTTTTTAAGTGTCTCTACATAATTTAATAGTATTGATTTGCAGGTAGATACTTTACACAGTATAGAGGAAGCTGGGGAAAAGTTTGGCTATCCTCTAATGGTAAAAAGCAAGAGATTAGCATATGATGGTCGAGGCAACGCAGTAGCCAAGAACAAAGAGGAGCTATCTTCTGTTGTTGCTTGTAAGTAGATTGAAAAATGATTTAGGTTTTCTCTTTGAATTCTTAAAATTACATGGTTTCTCTAGGGACTGCTCATTTTTCTTTGAAAATTAACCTGTAAGTAGATAAAACTGCACTAAGGTCTATAATTCTGAATCTAGTGTTTTGTTCACATTTCTTACTTCTTGCAGCACTGGGTGGGTTTGAGCATGGCTTGTATGTTGAGAGGTGGACTCCTTTCGTAAAGGTTAGTGAAAATTTTGTTTGATATGCATGTAGAAAATGACTCTTTTTAGTCTGTCAATTTTAGGTTCAAATCCGGTGGTTTATTCTTTTTTCATTTTGATATCTTATTTCAACTTCATGTTCTATAAATTGACATTTTTAGGTGTGGTATTGATTTTTTCCCCTCATAATCATTTTGCAAAATCATGCTAGTGGTCTGCTATCTATCTGTTAATCATTCTTGATCTTTGTGTTCCTAATATTTTCATGTAGCTGATATGAATATAAGATGTAGCCAAAGGGCCTCTAGTCCAGTCAGAGTACCCCGGCGGCACTCCTCAGGTCCTGGGTTCGACTCCCCGTGGGAGCGAATTTCAGGCTGAGGTTAAAAAAATCCCCTCGACTCCCCGTGGGAGCGAATTTCAGGCTGAGGTTAAAAAAATCCCCTCGTCCGTCTCATATCCAAAGCACTGGGGGGGCACCGGCCCAATTCTTACTTGGGCGACGGAAAGCCACCGTGTAAGGGTGGGGCGGGGGTTCGGGGGTTTTCTCGGTCTGGTGAGAATGCTGTGGGGGCAGTCTTAACCCCT